AAATGATTTTCGGTGAAATGATCGTCGGCGAAATATTACGTCGGTGAAATGATTTTCGGCGTTATGATTGCCTCCCGTTAAATTTCGCCCACAACATTGGAAACTTGTTAAGGAACTGTAGTAGATAATCGTTCAATTAGTCGACAATAAAAATGGGTTACTTTGGCTATTATTAAACAATCGAATAATCTAATAAGAGAGACGACACTCTACATAGCACTTCGTACAAAGTTGGCGCTCACGTTATCTACACTATGAATATACAAAATAGTGGATATTTGTTATATATCGGGGTGCTTATTTTACGCAAAATACCATACACTTGTTTCTATGTTGTAATCATTAAGTAGCAAGGCCACGGAAAGAAGAATATTCTTTATATTAATAAGAATAGTCTTGAAACATATAAAACCCATTCGAAATTAGTTTAGAATTAAAAAAGAAAAAGTGAAAAATCATTTTCACAAATTAAGTTTAGATAATAACAGAGCTCGAATTATTTTGAAATTCAAAAATGATGGACAAGCTAATTACCGAGGAGACAAGACCCCTGTATTCATTGTTCAGCGTTCGTACAGGTTTTTTACAATATTTAAAGTTTTTCTCGTTATTGATTGTAATTATATTGTCTGACATGTCATTCCTTTCAATGGCAATGTTATAATAATACACGTAACAGCAACACACGCATTCGAGTCTTCTAAAAGTATTAGTCTTTGGCGTGAGTTTTGAATAATCCGAAGTTTTACTTTTTACAATTGTGTGAATGAAATTTGTCCAAGTTACAGAACAAAGTAACCAGTTAGACTTTTCGCTCGACTCTTTGTCATTTGGTTATTTTTATCTATTCGTAGTTTAGCCAGACTCAATATTTCTTGCGTAAGTCTTCGCGATACCATCAGATAAGAAGCAGTTTTTCATATTTGACATGAGGTATGGAATTAAATTTGCCAAGTCAAATTATCTTTTAGCGTAACAACTTTAATGATTAGGTAATAACAGAGAGATATTGATTTAATACATTCTACTCGCGAACAAATTGTTAATAAAGCGTTAAATGAGCGTACGTTCTAATCATCACGAATATAATCAACTTCTAAAACGTAATCTTTCAAGAAAACTTCAAGTGCAATTTGTCTTTTTTCCATTGCATCTTGTCTCGCTTCTAAAGATGAGAGTTTTGATATTGGCGTCTCATCCTCTCCAGGTGGGATTTCTTTCTCTCTTTCTGGCGGGGGCGTCTCATCCTCTTTAGGTGGGATTTCTCTCTCATTTGTTTCTGAATATTCACCGGCTATGTGTTCCGGGGCTTCGAATAGACCGGATTCTGCTACGCCGTCAAGATCTTTCCTGATTTCACGTTTGATGAACGGTAGTTTTTGCCATAAACCCCACGGTGCACCCACTCTGTCGGCGCCTGTTTTGATAGAGTAACAAATTGGTTGTGAGTTTTGGCGTAACGAGTAGTGGCAAATGCATAAATAAATGTGCCCACATACCGAATAGTAGTACATAGAGTCCCATTGCCGTACCATATATACCACCTACTGCACTTAATATGTCGAGGACTGTCAGGTCACTGACGATTGAAGAATAGAACCAGACGTTGTAAGTTGTTGAGTATTCAATTGTGACAAGTAATGCTATAGATTAGACTTTGCATACTTACGATACTTCTGTTTCCGTCGTAACTATATAAGACGAGGGATGGACAGTGATAATTGCATAAGTTGAACTGTCGCCGGTAATAAGCGGAACCGGAGCTGCAAGTTTTTTGCTTTTTTGTCAGTTAATGTTTCATTTCATACAAGTCACTCTTTATCACAATAGTTAATGTACCGTATGTGGTCGACAGCATATTTATGTCCACATATGTAGGTTGTCCAACAATGAGATTCCGTACATCTGGAAGGAGAACATTACGGATAGACCGCGCCACGCCGATGTAGGTGTTCTAAAGAATATTATCATTCGTTAATATATTATCGGTTAAATAGTTCACAGAATTTATGCGAAATCATACTAACAAAGCCTTTAGCTATTAAGTAATAATTAGCATTAAACAACGTCGCCAAATAGTCAGACACGACCCGTGGCTGGCCTCCTGGATTAAGGGAAATTTGTTCCGTGTCTGGTATAGTCAATCATTTGTTGTTAGTATCAATTGCACTCTTCTATGAGCCACTTTACATAATCAATAAGATAAATTTTGATTACCGGCATCAAACAAGTTTACTGTCAGCAAGGCATCTGAACTGGTAGCTGAAAAAAACTGATCTTGTATAGTAATAGCGAATGCAATCATACTTATAGTTCCATTGAGTTCATCTGGCTGGGCAGTCGGGATTGCAAATTCTAAATGTTGATTGAATCTTGCTACATAGTAGTCGGTGATGTTATCGACTTTATATGGACCGAAATCAGGCAGAACCTGGTAGCCATAGGCTACAAAAAGTCAAATTAATGATCATAATATTTGTGACATTGTGCAATTATTGTGGTACAGTACATACGCATCCATCCTATGGTGGTAGAGATTGAAAAGTTATAAGCGGAATTGAATTCTAAAACTAATAAACATATTAACGGTTAGCATTTTCATTTATATTTATTTACAAATAAGAATAATTACATACTGGGCATTGAAATTGAATTAACCCTTTCCCGAGAAGTGTTTACAGTTACATCGTTATATGACAGCTGAAGACATTCCCAGACAAAGTAACCAGCTACGCCTAGCGTTAAAATTAGCTTGGCTACTTTCTTGGGTCGTCTGACTGAAGAAGGCTCGGCTTCAGAACCTGCAGGCCAGACAAAGTCTTTGGTGGTCGTGAAAAGCTGTTTGATGATGTCAAGCAAACCCATCTTCGTATCAAGTAAGTTGAGGGATTGGGAAAATATGGCCGCTTGAACAGTATTTATTTATTTATTTATTTATTTATTTATTTATTTATTTTTATTTATTTATTTATTTATTTATTTATTTTTATTTATTTATTTATTTTTATTTATTTATTTATTTATCAATCAATCTATCTATTTTTTATGCACTGTGAATTTGAATTTACATACTCGGGCATGCAATATCAGAAAGCTGCACAAGTTTATTGATTGTGATCACAAAAACAGCATCATTTTGAAAGGCTTTTTTTAAATATATTTGATATTCTAATTCTACATAGACTATTGACTGCTTTTTTCTTATCTACCATATCAAACTCTTGTTGTACAAATAAAAATGAACTCGCACTCGTTTTTTTTCTCCCTGTCAATAATGAATAATAGGTTTGCTAGGATAATTGTCGAACAAGTACACTCAATACGCGCAGATTGCCTTGGACAGTAAATTGAGCCACCAAGCTTCGCTACTGTAGCTTCATGGCCTATCAACATTTTATTTATCGTGTAATAACATTAACTGTTTTTACTACAATATGTTTAGTAGCCATTATTTTAAAACTGACCGCTACTCAATATCTATTCGAAAAAACAATTCAAAACAAATCCACATAATCCACCCTATACCAAGACTAAGAATAATATCGCCATCTTGTTTAACTCCTCCATTTGCGGGATTCATTGATGGGTCATTTGTCGTGTTCATAGTCGGTACATCAAACGCGAGAGAGATGTTGACAGAGGTTGGATGAATTGTGGGGTTGCTTACGCGAAGACACCAGGTTGCAGGAACTGATTCTTCCCTACCACAGCTTTGAACACATTGGTCGTGGCTTTATGTTTGTGGAGATTGGGAAAAGATTAATGAACAGGTATTGATTATAAATTAGGTGAGTGTCGGAGGAGACTAGTATTAGAAAAGTCAATAGCTCTGTTTTGTTTTTAACCGTATAATCTACAACTAACCCACTCGCAACTCCTAATTCTTTTTCCCTTATTGTTTACTAACCATGATGCTTCATGTGTATACGTGGCCGATGACTCGTTTCCCTGGAGCGTCATATTAAGCATGCTCCAAGTCGAAGCATAAACCAGAACACCGGTTAAACACGGTTCATCGGGAATGCCACTTCCATTCGCAAAGTGGCCAAAGTTTGGTGTTGAAGTGAGATTTTTATCGGACGTTGTGACGAGAAATCCTAAATTAAATAACTATGTGAGTAGGTTGAATTATGCTTGGATTTAAACGTCGATTATGTATAATACTCACTTATTCCGTTAACGTCATCTGATGCGCAGAGGTACCTTTCAAAGAGAGATTAAACCAAGTATTATAGAAAGGTAATTAATTATACCACATTACATTTATTCTTACCATGAAGTATTATTCGGCAGCAAAATATTACCCGTTTGTATCTGAGCACTCGTAATGGCCGTCTATACATTAAATTGATAATAAATATATGTATATTTAAAGTAACATAGCTTGTTATTATTTACTCACCAACACAAATAAAAAACCAACTAGCTTCCACATTGTATCGAGTCTGTGTTGTTTATAATATCGAGCGTGGTATTATAATATCGAGTGTGTTGTTTATTCTTAAATATTTTTTTCAATGAATATCAAATTATGGATACGTTACACACGTTATTACAATATAGTCAGTATAGTTGAAGTAGAAAAGTAAAAATAAAATAAAAAGTATGTGAAATAGAAAGAAAATTTTCTATAAAAAGACAATTATTTTACAAAAGTAGTTGGCTGTCTATCGACATATCATTTGATCAACCATCAATGCAATGTCGATACGCCAAGCCACAACGGCATACATGTACGAGGGGGTTTGTTCCATTCAAAAAATATCGGAGTCATCGGCAGTTATTCGTAAGTGTTCGGAATTTAAAGTCCACAAGCACGTAATCGGTGGTTGCAATACACGCACATATTTTTAACATATATCATAAATGGCTATAAAAAGAAAACTACACGATATGCAGGAGTAATAAACTTAGGAAGAAGGAGGCATACGTCGTAACACCTTTAATCGTGTTGAATTACGCCCATTTAATATTAATACTGTTGTCTTTCGTAATATCGATATCCCATTTAGAACAAACGGACTGCGTGTAAAGTTAAAACTGTCATACATGAAAAAATTAAAACAGAATAGTCTGGAAAAGGTGCGTATGCATCTCTGCAGGATACATCATTTACTGTGACCAATAGTACAACGAAACTTTACCTAGTGCACAATGTCATACGTCATGTCATACACGTGAAAATTGTCTGATAGACTTTAAAGGAAATTGGTTAATCCTCTATTTGGTACGTTCAATGAGCTTAGATTTATTTCTGTATTTAGAGTAGCTTTCAATATATTGGTTATGTAAGCAATATCGGCCGATGTCTCTAGTGCAAGTCTATGGACACTCTATCGCTAAAAGCTTATACGCTCAACGCACGCACAGCTCAAACTTGTCATAATTTGCATAGACCGAATTGGCAAACATCACTTTCTGATTTTTTATTTGCTGGATGGATGCTTGATAACCTGTTTTATTTATTGCTATCAGACGGAAGGCAATTATAATATCGACAATCACTTTGCAGACGTGATATTACATCATTTCATTTCATTGACAATCAGTAGATCTCATTTAGCCCGATAATTTTATTCTTTGTCTTAACCATTTCAAACTTTTGTTTTACGACTTCATAATGACTATGTTATTTCCTTTGTTATGAATTGAAACAGTAAAGCAGTAAATAGGCTTTATATATCAAAAATTCAAATAAAATAGGATTTGATGAGTTAACCCACTGGACTGAACATATAATGAGGTGAAAGTATGCTTTACTTCGAAATATTGCTTCTGATTATGTGCAGATCGTCTAAAGCTCGAAATAAATTATCCAACTGTCAAAAATCCCAAGGCTTTTCTACTAGAGGGTTTGGAGAAAAATTAATCCGCAAGAATTATAGAACAGATGATGCAGAACAAAAGTTACGGCTTAGATTTTTTAGTTAACTAAAAAAGTTTTGAGTTTTAGGGATTTGAAAAATAACAGCTTTCTCAAGTTTTCTTCAGAAAACAAAAAATTTCGGACACACCGTTTTCACAGATCGTTGTGGAAGAAGATTATATCTCCACAACCGGATTTTCTGGATCAAAATCGACTTTGGTTGAAACGATCGAAAATTCTGGTCCGTTTGTATGTTACTGCCAAAATTTTACTGTTATTGAACGCTATTGGGAAGCAGCCAAACGATATTAATATGCAAGAAATAACTGTAATTATACACGGAGCGGATTACAAGATGCATGGGATGAATTACGAACAAATCAATTCGATCAACTTTCTAAACCAAGAAATGTAATTGCATGTTATATAAATAAGCATATGCTGTTCAATCTGTAACATTAATATTAAAGTCGAATTTTACTTTATTCGAAATTTGAAGCGTCTGGACAAGTAATGTATTTCAAAATAAAATATTCATTTAGTCGAACAAATCCTTATTAACGATCTGCATGCAGAACAAAATTTCGGATTGATAATTCTACGCTGATACACAAATCATTTTCCTCCAATGTAAATGTACGCAATATTTGTGAATAATTTTCAATTGACCGTTTATTATATTACGGACAATAAACCATACATGTCGCAAAACTAAGACTTGTTAAAATAAAAGATTGCTGCAAAACTTAACAGCAACGAATACAATATACTTATAAACTAGATTATAACTAACTAACAGCGATAATTCTTTGGTCACCGTCTTCTTTAAGGAGCATGGCGGATGATTGACTGCGTTGGGAGTCCTCTCTTGTCGCCATTAGATATGACGACGCATTTACCAAATAGCTTGTTAACATCAGCGTTATTTAACACCTGGATATGACAAATTTTAAATGCAACAATGGTTTTTGAAAAGACTATTAGATTCATCTGGTAGACGCAATGACATGTCATGCGATACAACATCAAATAAATCTTACCGTGGACCATTCCGTCCCAGATTTTACGAACGGAGTGAGATCGAACAAAACCTCCCCGTTCACGTCATCACTATCATTGTCACCATCATTGCTGCCACATTCTCTAACCTCAACACGGAGGCTTTGGTCAAGAACTATAAGAGACGTCACAAAGACCTGGTGATCATCACTATCATTATCTCCATCAGCAGAAGGCAATTGTACAAGTGTGAAAGTGGCTTCGAATCCGTTTGAACCAGTTCTAAATTCAGACTTTCCGATAATCTTGTTGTCGTCGTTGTCACTTTCATTTCCATTTCGTTTAGCAATATTCCCGAGAGCGTTTCGTGCTGGAATAGCATTGGCTGAGAACAATGACGCCAATAAAAGAAGAGTGATAAAGATTTGCTTGTACATGTTGGACTGTTTATTGATTAGGAGGACTTGTGAATTGATTATCGTTGCTTGAAGCCGAATATGATTTATGAAAAGAACTTTGCTCGATGAACTGACGGGATGATGAAAAAGAGCTCAATCGACCCCTCCTTTTATAGAGATTTTCTGTCCTTGTTCGACCGCTTCATAACGTTCATTCAATTTCTATCTACGTGGAACTTTTTTTAGGTAAGAAAAAATTATTTTTAGAGAACGCGACATTCAAGCCAATCAGCTTGTGTTAGATAAACATGAACGATCTATTGTTGCATTTTCCTTGTTCGTTATTTTTAGTTTAAAGTTGTGTGCTGACATGTACATAGATTACTGATAGACTGTGTCTATTCATGAATATTGATCAAGTTATCAAATATATCTGGTAGTAATATGCGTTCGCGCTCCGCATATTTAAATTTTTGTTTAACCATCCACTGTCAGACAATTAGGTTGGTACAAACTCAAACGTTTGTGTTCTTTGATGCAAGCATCTGTTGCCATACTCTGTCTTGTAATTTTTTGCCCGCATGACGTTACGAGTCCCTCCCTTGACGCCCTCGATTCCTTGTGAACCCGCTGGACTTTATTGCCAAGGCTCACGCTCAGTAGCCTAAGCCTGATTTGGGATCGTTCAATGAAGCACCGTTTCACACAGTTAAAAAAAAAAAGATATTGCGCGATAAGGATTGAATTTTATGAAATACATTCAATATTTTACTAAACAAAGTTGTATGGACAGGCTTTATTTCCGTAAAAGAAAGAAAGAAAGAAAGAAAGAAGAAAAAAAGCGAGCAAATTAAATAGTAAAAAAACAAACACCTTCTTGCCAAAAAAATTGCCTGCTAGTTCGTACATACATACGTTACACAAAACGAGTTTTGTGCGAGCATGCATCTGTGGAATTAACTCGTTTTCGGGGGAAATCATCACCGAAAGTCGGTTGATCAACGCCCAAAACGATTTGCCGTTCATTTGTGCTGCGCCTTGAGTCTGCAACTGTCTCTTTGTGCTCTTTGTGCTTTGTAAGCAAACACAATCGATCGACAATTCAGTTTATGGACATATTCTGTTTCCCTGTACGGGAATTAAGTATTCGCTTCACGGCACCGAGTTGAAATGTTGTACACCCAATACATTTTTTTGCCATTGTCCCTACGGAATTATGCGGATGGTCTTTATTATCTTTCTAGAAATGTTGAAATTGCGTATACGGAGTTTGTCATTTGCACAATTTCTGTGCTGCGTCGAGCCTGATTTGGGATCTTTCAAAAGCATTTGTTTCATAACTCTGAAAAAAGAAAAGAAAACACATTCAATCATTTGCACCATTATCACTAACAAAGTTTATCCGAAGAATTTTATTATTTTTTTCCCCTTAAAAACATGCGTGGGGTTTGTCGATTTCGTGTTACGCTCCAATAAGTCGGTGCACTGTAACACTTTTTCTGTTTATGTACGTATTCTGTTTCCCTATATGGTCATTGCATCATATTTTACGTCAAGCAAGATTGAAAGCAAAAAAGACGATCATGATGATAGGAATATCATGATAAGGAGGTCAAGCGTTGACGGTACACGACAGATCAACCTCTTCCATTACTTCGTTATTCAATTTTAATACTTGTTTATTGTTTCTTGTTTATTGCCCAACTCCGATAAATTTGATGATCTGCAATACTGTATGTAACGTACCTGCATGTCATTCAAATATTACGAGATGTTTTCATATTAAATATGTATGCAGAATCTTTGTGACACCGAAATCACTAGTGGAATTTCGAATAATAATAATCACAGATTTGACGCATATCTATTAATATCCGACAAAATAACAGCTGCACGAGGACAATATAGAAATTTTAACAAACGAACTATTATTAATTTTATCGTCACCAAACTTATTGTCAATATTCATATCCAATTTCTAAGAATAAGACACGCTTACACTGTTTCAGGATCAAGCCTGTTGTGTCCGAGTTCAGGACCCAGTCCCTCAACCAAAACTGAGACAGGTCTCCAACTGAGGCACAACAATCTTATCAGTAATAGTATTATTAACAGTAAAAAAATTTTATGTTTAGCCAGACATAGCTTGTACTGATAGATAATTATATATTCGTTTTGATTTGTTTTTTCGAACATTCAAGAATGCTTACAACGTTACCGCATCTTGTCGGTTCGTATTAATCGACTGGGTGCCGTTATTTGTAATTTGTTATGCATTATAGCTTGCTTTAACTATGCTTGGGCCAGCGTTTTGCTGAAGCAATTTTTCTATTATTACTATTTTTCATTATTATAATATTACCAAGTCTTTGTTGCTCTTTTTTACCTCCTAATTGATGCACTTTAAAAATTATGGACTTGTAGCTAATGAGATTTATGCTATTATGTCGACAAAATTCCAATATCTGTCAAGACTTTTCTGCACTAACCGTGTCGTGATTTCTCAAGAGTTTGAAAATAGATAGTTTGATAGTGCTTCGCATTTTCTTTAATCGTTCTATAGTTCCAACTATAACTAAGCAATAAAACAGTAATTTGACAGATACAATTGTGTCGATGCTTGCAGACAGGAGAGTATAAATAGCAAGTGCTGCATGTCAAAAGCGTCAACATTTTTTAAAGTATGTAATTTCTCAAATCAACTATAATATTTATAAACTTTATTTTTTGAGATTTAAGAGGCGCAAGAATTTATCCCGGCTAATATCAGAATATTAATAAGATTAAATAAAAATATTAAATCTATATGAAATCGGATTTGAAAATAGACACAAATGTCTTAGTCTCCGTTTATTATTTTTGCTGTCGGCAAAAATGTATAAATACTGGATGCTTTGTTTCAAGAAAAATCAATGCATTATAGAAGTAAACAAACACACCCTGATTTCTTTGATGTGCAAACGTCTTTTAGTCTATCTATAAACACCGGGTGAGATTGTTTTTTTTTATTGACTCACGATGCATTTTACCATTTTCTTCAAACCATGGCGTGCTGCAATATAATGACATGTGCAATACAACGAGAATGTAAACAACTGGTTTAGAGAATGTCAAAATTTGCCTTTACATCTGATAATTACATCAAGATGCTATATTATCAATTATAATCACCAATGTTTTACTTGAAAATAAAAATTTTGTCAGAATTGCAAAATAGCAATAGGATATATTTTAGCACTGTATCCAATTTTTTTAAACCCATTATTTTTAGGTTTATAATGAATAAAATAATATTGGTATTGCAAGTATAATTTTTGCAACACTTTATCAGAAATTTAATGACACTGTTGAGCTGCGTCATACAGTCCAGGAAAAAATAATGGTAAAACAGCAAAGTATTGTTGCAGTAATTTTTGCAGTGCAAAAATCTGGGTTTAACTGTTTGAAAGCACCCAGTTACGTTCTAAAAAAGGTTTATGCATATTATTAATTTTTTATGCTTCAACGATGTTAGAATTTAAATTTAACAAGTAAACTAATTATAACTTGATAAAAACTATAAACTATAGGTAGGTTTTTTTTATTAAAAAAATTAGTCTTTCTAATTAAAATTATAATAAGATATGCCAGCTTATTTGCAATTTGTTAACAGTTTAGAGCTACTCAGTCGATATTCTATTATACTGTGCCTTAGTCAAAACCGAGACTTGCTTTTTTGCATAAAAGCTAAATGTCAAGGACGTGCTAAAAATTATCGCCTTTTATGTATTACAAGATAGTTTTTTAATTACAGTCAAGTGCTTAACGTATACGTAAAAAATTGCATTTGGTAAGCACTGCCATTATTTTTTACGGAACTATAAGCAGGATAAAAGATTTGATATCAATTTTTTGCACTTATCAAAATTGTAAAAAATTTCAAAACGCGTATTAAAATGACTGTATGTAAATTAATTCTGAGTTGTGGCAACAATATTTGTAATATTTATACAGTGCACGACTTAGCTATCGCAGAAAAAGTTAAACAATAACTAAAACTTGGTTAATTTAGCTCTGTCTGCGTCATATTCCACAAGTCAATATTAATATGCCAACGAACGGCGCTATTAAATTATTAAAAATACTATAAATATACAGTACGTGGGGCGTTCAATAGGTTCTTGCCTCGTAGTTTTATTGCGAAAAGTTGCATAGTAATTTTTTTAAAACTGACTAATTATTCTTTCAAAGAGTCTTCTCCTACATTTGTAAATTTTTGTAATTCTTCTCGCCAACTTTTAAAAGACCTATAATACTCCTCTTATGAGATACTAAAACAACTGCCTGAAGACCCTGAATTCTGTCCAATTCTTTTTGTCAAGTAATTTTATAATTCAAAATAAAACAAAAAGTAACATCGACAAAATCTAGACGTATAGAATAGTTGATAATGAGACAGTAACCTGGCTTGTTCTTACTTTGAAAATCCTATAACTTTTTAGATTTGTGATGAGGCACAACATTGTCAGGCGTAGCATCTCATTGCAAACAACTTGCTCTTTTTCTCATCGTCGACAAAAGAAGGTAGAATTAATTAACTAAAGTTACTTGTTTATATTTTTTTTTAATAAAAGTTTATTAAGCATACTGTGGACCTTTTTTTTTAAACTTGCTCCGCAAGAGCCTTCTGAATCAAGCGTTATCTTCCAAGATGTCTCTATAATTATTAAAAGTTTTAACCAGCTGTCAAACTGTGTACAATGTTAGTGCTTTATATCTACAAAATTTTGTTAATTTTGCATTAAATTTACTTAGCATCTGTCAAATCTTGTCATTTTAACAAATATGTGGAATTAGTATTGTTTACGTAAAATTCAAACCAGTGGTTTTGATAAACAAACTTTGAACCAAGACATCTCGACAATTACTGTTTCAAAACACACCAAATTTAATTTATTTCAAAAATCAAAACTTTAGTTTTTATTTGGTTAGCGTCAGTTTGTCTCAGATTGTCAGCTTGTAAAATGCAAGGCCTGCGGCAAAAACTTATTGAACGCCCC